TCCCTGCTCTCTGTCTGATCCAGCCTAGTGGGGAAAGAACTGAGACCTAGGCTTGTTCTGGAACTAATAGGATGGGGGTGTCGCTACCTTTTTGAGCTCCAATATCACAGGGGTGGGGCAAGGGTTGTAAGGCCAGGGGAGAAGTTCATCTGTGGAAGAGGCCCACCAGTGAATAAAAAATATAAGTCAGGCCCGGCCTGCATGGCTCAGTGGTTGAGCATCAGCCTATGAACCAGAAGGTCACGGTTCAATTCCGGGACAGGGCACATGCCCGGGTTGGGGGCTGGATCCCCAGTGTGGGGCATTCAGGAGGCAGCCGATCAATGGTTCTCTCTCATCATTGATGTTTCTACCTCTCCCTCTCCCTTGCTCTCTGGAATCAATTATATATGTGAAGCAAAAAGGCCTGACCCACCGCAGAAAATTGCCGTCAGGAGAGTTTTGTGTCTATTCCCACTGGCCCCATGAAAGGTGTGTGCCTGGCGGTGGTGCTGAGAAAAATCCAGATGCAGAGATGAACACTTGCCCCTGTGTCCAACTGAATATGAGATGAAAGGTGAAGAATAATGCTCTGCTTTCTACACATCCTGTTAATCTCTGCTACAGCAGTACCCTCAAAGGACAGAAACACGGCTGGAATCCGCTATTTCATGCTGCTGCTCTTCTCTCTGAGCTGGAGAGGACTGCTGTCCACTCTGCTCTCTGCTTGACGACATGGAGCAGTGCCTTATACTCTTCTCTGGAGTCGATGTTCGAAACCTCCCCTCTACTCTGTTCTTGAATATTCACTTGGCTGCCCTGCTGCCATCACAGTTTTGGGGCCACATGTTTTGTCATGAATACTCCTCCCCTGTCTTGTTGTCTTTGCTCCCCCTTTTTGCTTTCAGTCCCTCTTGTGTCCAGGGGGCCTCTTTAGCTCTGCTCTTAAAGGAGCTGTGTGGGTCCTGCCGGGGCCTCTGAGGGGCTCATCACACCAGAGAGAGAAAATCTGCTCTCTCCTGTGTATGGTGCTCAGTGGAATGGGGTGCCTGGGGAGTCATTGTGTATCCTTGCATCCGTGACCCTGCCCCCTCCGCACTGAGCGGAGGCCCACTTGCTCCACTGTCACAGCTACCTTTGGGAGACATAACTTCTGTCCCCTGAGCTTATGTATGCTCCTCTAAAGGCTGGCCCTAGCTCTTCCAGTTTATGATTTGTTTGCTCAGCTGGGCTTCCCAACGGGGTTAAGTTAGACACAGTTTTCTGCTTTTCCGTCCTCTGGTTGCTGGGATGGCCTCATCTTTCCTTTTGCTAATGCCTAAAACTAAATAGATGGTCAATGAATATAGACCTGCTGTGGGCACAATGCTTTTCTCCCCTCCCTCCGCCCCCTACTCTTTGGGGAACTCCCTCCAGCCCAGGACACTTGCTTCTCCACACAGACACAGGGCGCTTATGCTGTTGACATTGGCCTGCTTTCCCAATAGGGGACTGTGTGGGCGAGCTGGGGACACAAAGTGCCTTCTCCTCCGCCTGCAGTGTTGGCCTGGTGAAGTGACCTCGGATGGGTCTCTGTTAACCAATGTTTCTGATATTGGGGTGGACACAGGCTGCTTTCCTAGGGGATATAACTGAGTATGAGCAGACACTGAGAGGCTGTATCCACCCTTCCCCGCATACATCACAAAAGAAGTTTGTCATTTCTTGGGAATTTCTCCATATAGGATCACGTCATCTGTGAATAAAGACCGTTTTAGTTCTTTCTTTCCAATCAGCGTGGTTTTATTTTGGTGGGATGGTAGGGTTTGTCCCACTGGCTTGACCCTCCAGTACAATTTTGAAATGAATAGGCAAAAGTAGACATTTTGTATTATTGTCAATATTAAGGAAAACATTCATTCTTCACCAGTAAGTATTATGTGCACTGTGAGTTTATGGAGACACTATCGGGTTGAGGAAATTCCCTTCTATTCCAAATGTGTTGGAAATTTTTTTATCACAGATGTGTATTGGATTTGATCAGGCCCTTTTGGGTAGCGGGGGCATCCATTGCAATGCTCATCTTCCCCACCTCCCACCTTGTACTATCAATATGGACTATAACAATTGATTTTCAGATTTTAAACCTACTTTGCATTCCTGGGACACATCCGGTTCTTCATGGCATGTATCTCTAGTGTGTTTGCACCAGGTCTTGCCTGGTCTCCCTACTTTGCATTTGAGAATTCTGTCCATGTGGCAGAAAAAACAGAATCCTAGTGTTGGTAGTGTGGAGCGACCAGCCTCTTCTAGGGTTGCAGCCCTGCTCAAAAAGCCACACCTCCCATCCTCCCAGCGACCTCACAGAGGAGCCCCTCTATCCCCTGAAGCATACACAGGGCCCAGACCCCAGCCCACTGGCCACCATATTTGTGCCTTTCCCAATGATGGGAGGAGCCAAGACAGCCCTGGCCACTATCCATTAGTGGCCCAGGATCCCACCCTCCTGCTGCACCCTCATTGGCCAGACCTTGATGGGCACAGACCCTTCAGGAGAGGTACCAAGGGGTAGGGAGTCTGCAGCCCTGGTGGGCTAGCTCCTGGGATGGCAGCAGGTCCCAGCAGGGCAGAAGGGTGGGGAGCTCTAGAGGCAAGTGAAGAGGAGGGGACCCTGAGAGGCCTCTGTCACCACAGTGAGTCAGGAGGCAGCCTTGTGCTTTTTCTTCTATGGTGAGTGCCCAGGCCATGGTCAAGCTTCTGACCACGGCTGTGGTCTTCTTCTGTGGGAGGGCAGACTCCATGGAGTGACAGTTCCTGAGGCAGCCAGGGCCCTGCCAGTTACTCTTTGAGTCCCTTCATTTCCCCATACAGTGACCCTCCCCTGAAGGGCTCCCCCACCTGTGGTCAGGTTGGTGGTGGGTGGGTGGGGAGCTGGTGGGGAGGTGGCTCCAACTTCTGAGAACATAGGGGAGTCCCCAAGTCCTGGAGTTCTAGTGTCCCCCAAGCTGGGCCTGCATCCACCCCAAGCCCCAGACTCTCCTGTCCATCCAAAGTGGCAAAGATGGAGGCAGAGAAGGCCCTTGGGGCTGCTGCCCTCCCCTGCATTTCCTTCAGCAGATTCTTTTCTGTATTTCCAGCACAGTGTGCTGCCCTCATTCGAGGGTGCGTTTGGTTTTGTTTCACAAGCACGCGTGTATTTGACGCCAGGTGGACAGTCATATATCTGTCCTAGAAGGGATTTTTCTCTTTGTAATAGTTTTCTCTTGCTGTCTTAACAAATTAGCACAAATTTACAACATAAATTCATCTCACAGTTCTGTAGGCCAGAAATTTGGTACAGGTCTTCCCAGACCAGAATCATGGTACTGGAAGGCTACATTCCTTTCTGGAGAGTCTATGGGATAATCGCTTTCCTGTTCATTTGGCTGTTGGCAGAATTCAGTTCTTTGTGGTTGCAGGATCCAAGTCCCATTGTCTTGCTGTCTGGGGGCCATTCCCAGCTCCTAGAAGCCACCATATTTCTTGGCTCCTGGTCCCTTCCTCCATCTTCAAAGTCAACAGTGGTGGTTTGAGTCTTTCTCACATGGCATTTCTCTAACCCACTCTTCTGTTTCTCTCTTCCACTTTTATCAGTTTATGTGATGAGATAATCCAGGACAATCTCTCTATTTTATGGTCAACTGATTAGAAACCATATAGTGTCATCCCCGCCTTTAATTCCTTGTAGCAAAGTATTCTCAAATTCTGGGGATTAAGACACAGGCAGCTTTGAAGGACCATTATTCCCTCTCCTACACTCTCTTGTTAGTATGTATGGCATGTCACATGATTGATTTTTAATTGATAAAATAATTTTGCTTTCCTGGAGTAAACTTCATTTAGTTGCAGTGTGTTTTCTTTTCAGTACTGCTGCTAGATTAGGCAAATGAATAAATAATTTGTGCCTTACTGATTCAATGGAATGCTAGAATCTTTTAAAATGACTACTAGTACTCTCTGAAATATGGATGAGTGCCACATATAATACATTCACGAAAAGAGGTGAGTAACAAAATAGTATATACTTTAATGATTTCATTTTATTTCAATGTCAATAATAGGAAAAACTAAATATTTGTAGAATTCAGAATAGTGGTTATCTAAGGGGAGGAAGAATTATAGTCTACACTCTACAGAGTCACATAAAGATGGTAAAAATATTTTCCACTAGGTTTCTACTATTCTGTATCTCCATTTGCTCTTCAAACTTAGGGGCCTTTAGTATTATTAGGTTTTGTTCTGTTTTTTTTTTATTTGATTTACTTTGTTTTGTTTTTTCTTTGTTTTGTTTTTATTTTAGTTTCCAATTTCCTAATTATTAATGATGTTGAGCATCTTTTTGTTTCCTTATTTGCCACACATATATCTTCTTTTGGGAAGTGTGTGTCCAAATATTTGCACAGTTTTAATTGATCTGTTTACTTTCAATTGCTGAGTTTTGAGATACATACTTATCTATAGATATAGATATAGATACACATATAGATATATAGATATATCCTATATTTAAGTCTTAGTCAGATATTCGATTTACAAATATTTTCCCTCAGCCTGTTCCATTTATTTTCAGTCTTTGAACAGTGTTTTTTGAAGAGCACAAGCTGTGTAATTTGTTGAAGTCCAATTTAATTAATTTTCCTTTTATGAATTATGTTTTTGTTGTCATAGGTTAAAATCTTTGCCCAATGAAAGGTTGAACAGGTGGTTTGTTTGTTTTTTAAGGCTTTTATTTTTTTAATCCTCACCCGAAGATTTTTTCCCCATTGATTTTTAGAGAGTGAGAGAGTGGGAGAGGGAAAGAGAAAAATATCAATTTGTTTCCGATTGGTTGCCTCCTGCACCCACCCTGGCCCTGAGCCCCGGATCCTAACCCCGCCCCGTGAGTGCCTGTGCACTAGCGACAAACCCCTGATAGGCAGAGCCCACGCACGTGCCAGACGCCGGCCTTGGCCCCGCCCACCGCGGGCCTGGGCCCGCCTCTGCACAGTGGCACTTCCTGCCTCGGCTCCCGGCCCACCTCCGCTCAGCCCCGCCCAGCGCAGACCAGCGAGCCCGGTGCGATGGAGGGCCGAGTGCAGCTGATTAAGGCCCTCCTGGCCTTACCCCTCAGGCACCGGAGGCGTCGGTGGAGGAACCCGATTCCCTTCCCCGAGACGTTCGACGGCGACACCGACCGGCTCCCGGAGTTTATCGTGCAGACGGGCGCCTACATGTTGGTGGACGACACCCTGTTCTCCAGCGATGCCCTGAAGGTGACGTTCCTCATCACCCGCCTCACGGGGCCTGCCCTGCAGTGGGTGATCCCCTACATCAGGAAGGAGAGCCCCCTGCTCAATGATTACCGGGGCTTCCTGGCCGAGATGAAGCGGGTCTTTGGATGGGTGGAGGACGAGGACTTCTAGGCCAGGAGACCCTCGGGCCTGGGGACAGGTGCTCTCGGGGGAGGGTCCCCGCGCCGGTGGCTGCCGCCCAGACCGCCACAGGCGTCCTCCCACCGCGCCTCCCCGTGCCCGTGTTCCGTGGCGGTGATCTCCCCCGCGCTCCCGTTCCCTCCCGCGTAGTGCTTGCCTTTGTTCCAGGAATAGCGCCCCAGGTTCCTGCTCTGCTGCAGCTGGGCCTGGCTCCGGAGCGCGCCGCCGCCCTCTCCCGCCAGCCGGGCCCCTCCCGCGCGGACTTGGACTCTGTCCTGGGCTCCAGCTGCGAGCTGGGCTCCCGTTACACACTGGATAAACCTCCTCAGCCTGTTGGCTGCCAATGTCTCCCTGCCAGGCTAGCAGGCCTGCTTTGATATGCCTGGATACCAGCGCTGTGGCTGTCATCACCATCCATGGCCTCCCACTGACAGACTGCAGCCTCCAGCGATCTCATCTCACCCAGGAGGTATCTGAGCTGGCCACAGCCCCTGGACAATGACTCCAGCAGTTCATCATGCTCCTAAAGGGTCTGGCCAGCCTTTCACCTTCATCTGGAGCCATTCCCTCCCTACTCCCATAGCTCCTGCTCCTTCCAGAAAGCTGCCAGATCTCAAGGGTGCCTGGCAGCCAAGTTGAGTCACTTATTTTCTCCTGTGGAACTATTAGTTTTGCCCAGAATACAGTTCTCTTCTGAATTTGTAGTATTTCCTTAATTATGTGCTTGTTGGTCTACCAAATAACTTAGATTCTACCATATTCCTCAACACTATCTGGACAAAAGTTTTTTGTTTTGTTTTTTTTTTCAATAAATGTGAAACACTATTAAAACATAGTCTCAATAAATAAGGCACTACTTCTTTCCTGTTCCTATAAATGTGGTCCATTTCTTGTCCAGAAAAGATATCCTTTACCATTCTATGGGTGATGTTAGAGAAACTCTCTGTTGACTCTTGCTAACAAAACATCAAATTGGAAGCCTGAGTTGGTCCTGATGATGGAGACCCCACTGATGACTGTTTAATCCAGTCAAGATTGTTCCAAACCTCTTATGAATTGGATCTTTATTTTTTCCAAGGCAATGTGAATAGTCAACCTCTGAGAAGGTTTTCTCATTTCCAAAAAAGTGGTTCGAAAGCACCCAAATTGTCCTAACCATAAATCCTACATTGATGGTGAACAATACCTAAGTTTTATACTGCAATTTTTCAGGGAACCAGCAAAATTACATAGGTACCTATTTTTTTTTAAAACATGTATGGAACTTTCATTATGTAAGTAGTAGGGATGGGGAAAAGCATGCAGAAATGAGATTGTTTAGGAACTAGCCTGGTTTTTTACCTGTAGGAGAATAAATGCATACACTTCCCTAATGGTCAGAAAAAGTCATTGCTCATTGTTTATCTGCAGTTTAACTTCATATTTATTGTATGGTTAAAAGCCTGTTCTTCCTCACCAATTGTTGTTCAACAAAGTTAAATATCCTAAGTCAGATGGTTCACAGGTCGGCTTATAGACAGCTCTTTGTTATGATGTCTAAAGGTTGTGTGTTACGTGCTGTTGAGTGGGCTCAGACGTTGGAGACCCTATGGATGAGTGATGGCCACAATGTACTGTCCTCAGCCTTGCTCAGCTCCTGCAGACTCATGCCTATGGCTTCTTTTTTGGAGTCAACCCATATAATTTTTGGTCTTACTCTTCCTGCTGCCTTCTATTTTACAATCAACTTTTTCTCTCATTTCTAAATTTTGGTGATTTTCCTGACATGGGATAGAGGAATAATTCACACCAGTATTTTTTCACTTTTATTTCACTGTCCTCTTTCTTCATTTTCACAGTTTAGCTTTGCTATTCATGTGCTGTGGTTTGCAGGACTTTATGTATATACTAGAGGCCTGGTGCACAACATTTGTGCACTGGGAGGGGGGGTTCCCTCAGCCCGGCCTGCACCCTTTAGCAGTCTGGGAGCCCTCTGGTGATGTCCGACTGACAGCCTTAGCTCTGCTGTGGATGCAGGAGAGGCTCCAGCCACTGCCACTGTGCTCACCAGCCATCAGCCTGGCTTGTGGCTGAGTGGTGCTCCCCCTGTGGGAGTGCACTGACCACCAGGGGGCAGCTCCTGCATGAGCGTCTGACCCCTGGTGGTCAGTACGCATCATAGTGACTGGTTGTTCCACCGTCTGGTCGATTTGCATATTACCCTTTTATTATATAGGATAACGAAGAAAATTGCCTGCATTATGTCTTTTTTAAAATATTTTTTATTGATTTCAGAGAGGAAGGGAGAGGGCGAGAGATAGAAACATCAATGATGAGAGAGAATCATTAATCAGCTGCCTCCTTCATGTCCCCTACTGGGGATTGAGCCTGCAACTCAGGTATGTGCACTTGACCAAATTGAACCTGGGACCCTTCAGTCTGAAAGCTGATGCTCTATCCACTGAGCCAAACTGGCTAGGGCACCTGTACTATGTCTTAATTATTTCTTGTTCCTCCAAATAGTGAAAATGTCATTAACTTGCAATATAGCATGTAATACATCAAAGTCTTGAAGTCAGAGTAATTATTTGAATTGCTGAATAAAATGAAGTTTTTATGGTTCACAGGTTCTTAAAACAATTTTTAAAAAAGGCAAATTATGAAGTTCCAATTTGAGGTGCTGGGAGTCTGACTTCCTGGATGGGTAGATAGGATGATAAGCATATTCACTGTTTGGTTTTAAACATAGATTTTGCTAATTTGAGAAGTGTTTGGAAGCAGTTTACTTTAGGGAGTAGCTCCAACATATCCCCTACAATCTGTGTCCACCTGGTTCTAGATATAGGTAGTATGGGTATGGACCTGCTGGGTGTCCTTTGAACAATGTCAGTAACCCCCTATCTCCCTCAGCAAAAATGCCACAGCAGTTTTCTTCCTTCTGTCAGAATGGCTGTCTTAGGGATTATTTAATATACACTAGTTGTACCATCCCCAGTCCTTTTATGTGATACAAATGTCTTGGGGAGGGCTAATTTGCAAGAATTAATCATGAACATTTTTTTCCCAAGATCTCATGAAAGGAGGGAAGACATGTTATTTGTAAGGGGAGAATGTAGGTTGTTTTTCATTTGTGCCTCAATCAGTTTAGGCTGCTATAATAAAATACCATAGCTTTAGTAACTTAAACAATAAAATATATTTCTCATAGTTTTGGAGGCTGTGCACTAACCATTTCCTGGTTTGAAAATGCTGCCTTCTTGCTGTATCCTCATATGGGAGAGAGAGAGAGAGAGAGAGAGAGAGAGAGAGAGGGAGAGAGAGAGATCTCCTCTTCTTATAAAGGCACTGATTCCATCCTGGGGGCTCCAACCTCATCTAAATCTAATTACCTCCCCTGATCCCCTACCTCCAAATACCATCAATTGGGGATTGGGGCTTCAACATATGGGTTTAGAATGGGGTGGGGGACACAAACATACAATCCATAGAAGTTACATTGATCATCTCACCTGTTACAGTTGTCATTCTCGGTTTGTTTCCCTCACTTCATTCTCAGCAAACTATTCTATCTCCCATCATGAAGCACCACTCAAGTGAGCATCAATGAAGGAATAAACATAAGATTCATAAAACATAGATAAATATGAGTCATGAGAGAGAAAATGAAATTAAACTAAATTTTTGGGAAAGGGTAATTGGGGCCAATATTGACTTGAAGTCTATAATCCTATATAATAAAGAGCTAATATGCAAATGGTCATCATGCCCTCATGCTGTCACTCCATAATGGCTCAGACACTCAACACTGGGGAGAAAGGAATGGGACCAGCCAGACACAAATGAGCTCATGAGAGAGGAATGGGGACCAGCCAGACTGTGGCCCGGGAGAGGGACAAGCCGCATGCCCTGTGGTCCCAGGCACCAGCGGCTGCACCTGCAACTGCAGCCCATCCCGGGAGAGGGACAAGCCGCACACCCCACAGTCCTGGGTGCCAGCGGCTGGGGCTGCGGCCTGGGAGAGGGACAAGCCGCCCGCCCCACGGTCCCGGATGCCAGCGGTTGGGGCTGCAGCCTGGGAGAGGGACAAGATGCCTGCCCTGTGGTCCTGGGTGCCAGCGCCTGTGCCTGCAGCCCAGGAGAGGGACAAGACACCCGCCCTGCAGTCCTTGGCGCCCGTGGCTGCAGCCCAGGTGAAGCCTCCCACCCACGGTCCCCTGTGGCTGTGGCCGGCCTGGGTGAAGCCAGCCCGGGTGCCTACAGCCGGCCAGAGGGAGGGAAGCCTGGGTCCCAGGTGCTTGCAACTGACCAGAGGAAAGAATCCTGGGTCCTGGGTGCAGGGCGAGGCAGAGGCAGTTAGGGATGATCAGGCAGGCAGACAGAGCGGTTAGGAGCCAGCGGTCTCAGATTTCGAGAAGCAGTCAGACATCCCCTGAGGGGTCCCGGATTGGAGAGGGTGCAGGCCGGGCTGAGGGACACCCCCCCCCCCATGCACGAATTTCATGCATCCAGCCTCTAGTTAAGGTATAATTTCACAAATTTTGTGACAACATGTACAAAAATTGAATATAGAAAATGCAGGCATGGAGGGGACAAAGTGGCCTTTGAGTGGTTTAATGTTCTGAGATCTTGGGTTCCAGGGCAATATTGGTAGAGAGAACTTATATAATAAGTGGCTTAAAAGCACAATTCTCAAAATATTATAATCATAATTTTCACATAGCTTCTTGATGAACACCTGTAAAAGTTTTATTTAACTCATTATTCAGGAAACCAAAAGAATGGTAGAGCTAATTCATAGAATCATTTAAAGATTGTGGGGAAAGGAATACAGTAATAATAATGTTAATTTATGTATAAACCTGCTTGATGTCCAGAAAAAATATTAGTTATTACTATATTTCTGCAAATTAAGCTCTCAAATATACAGTATTTTTTTCAATTTTCATAAGGTTTATTTTATTCTATTTAAAGGATGTCCTGGAATTAGAGATGAAGACCTATATAATAACAAAATGGCTGAAGATTTTTTTTAGCACACCCAGTGTTCCAGGAAACTTACACAGATGTTCATGTTTAATCTTCAACACCCCTCATGAGGTAAGCACCATTTATATTTGAGGAAACAGAAGCTTAGTAAGGTCCTATGGCTAAAAGCTGGCAGACCTGGGACTCACATTGAAGATACCAGAAGCCCTGCACTCTTAACCAATATGCTATCTGTCCTGGAGCTCTTTCCTTTTCTTTTTTTTTTTTAAAGAAAGAGATAAAGACCTTCAAGGATTTTTTATAAAAATACCAGAGGCCCGATACACGAATTGGGGCCGATCAGGGCCGGGCCCGCTGAGGGGAGAGGATGCGGGAGGTTGGCTGGCCAGCCCCACCCCTGATTGAGGTCCGGGGGGTGATCTTGGCCGCAGTGCACATCAAAGCAACTGGTTGTTCCAATCATTCCGGTCATACTGGCATTCCAGTCGCCTGGCTTTTATATATATAGATGTTTTTATTGATTTCAGAAAGAGGAAGGGAGAGCAAGACAGATATAGAAACATCAATGATGAGAGAGAATCATTGATTGACTGCCATCTCCATGCTCCCTACTGGGGATCGAGCCCACAACTTGGGCATGTGCACTGACTGGGAATTGAACCGTGACCTCCTGGTTCATGGGTCCACACTCAACCACAGAGCCACACCAACCTGGTGGGCTCTTTTCATTTTTAACAGCTTTACTGAGATATAATCTGCATACTATAAAATTCATCCACTTAAAGTGTACAAGTCAATGGCTTTTAGTTTATTTACAGAGTTCTACAATGTCACCAAAATCTAATTTTAGAATATCTTCATCACTCCAAAAACAAAACTCATATCTATTATCAGTTACTCCCAGTCTTAGTTCAGGCTTCTATAACAAATAGCATAGACTGGGTGGCTTAAAAAGCATTTATTTCTCACATTTCTGGAGGCTGGAAAATCCTAGATCAAGGGGTTGGCAGATTTTGTGTCTGATGAGGGCACACTTCTTTGTTTTGGGGGAGGGAAGCTCTTTGGTCTCTCATTTAAAAAAATTATCGAACAGAGGCAGAGCTGCCTCACACAGATTGTCAAACTGCAGCGGGAAGGCCGGGGAGGGTTGGGGGGCAGGAGGGAGGGGGGTAAGAGATCAACCGAAGGACTTGTATGCATGCATATAAGCATAACCAATGGACATAAGACACTGGGGGGGTAGGGGAAGCCGGGGTATTGTCAAGGGTGGGGAAAAAAAAGGACACATATCTAATACCCTTTGTAATGCTTTAAGCAATAAACATGCAAATGACCAACAGGTGTATGATAAAGAGCACAACATCACTAATCATTAGGAAAATGCAAATCAAAACCATAGTTAGCCCAGCCACGTGGTCAGCATAGACCTATGAACCAGGAGGTCGCAGTTGGATTCCCTGTTAAGGCACATGCCCCAGTTGTGCGGCTTGATCCACAGTGTGGGGCATGCAGGAAGCAGCAGATCAATGATTCTCATCACTGATGTTTCTATCTCTTTCTCCCTCTCCTTCCTCTCTGAAATCAATAAAAATATATTTTAAAAAATAGAAATGATGGAGTCCTGATGGGTGTGGCTCAGTTGGTTAGAGCATTGGTCCATCCAGCAAAAGGTGGTGGGTTTGATCCCCAGTCAGGACACATGTGGAAGGCAGCCGATTGATCTCTCTCTCATCAATTACAAATTTTTAAATAAATAAAAACTATGGAATTTTAAATGGTGGAGCAGGAAGAGGATGAATCACAATTGTAGTCTGGAGAGCAATTACAGTGATGGGACTGTAGTTCATTACACTAATCTACATCTTGTAAGTTTTCTTTCAGGAAGAGAGGCCATATCAACCATGAAGTAGATGTTCTCATAACTTAAGTAAAGAAGTAGATCTGTGCTGCAGTGTTGCACTGAGGTATCCATGGAAGTGTGCCACTTGGACTTCCCTTCAAGACAACCTTCTATCATGATAATAGTGAGCAGTCACCTTCCAGCTACTGCACTTTTGTTTCTTTGTTTTTTTCTTTTAAGTCCTTACCTGTGGATATTTTTTCCATTCATTGCTAGAGAGAGTGGAAGGGAGGGAAGAGGAGAGAGAGAGAGAGAGAGAGAGAGAGAGAGAGAGAGAGAGAGAGAGAGAGAGACATCAAAGTGAGGGAGACACATCAATTGGTTGCCTCCCACACACATCCTTACTGGCCTTGGGGAACCTGTAACTGAGGTACGTGACCTTCACTGGGAATCGAACCCGAGACCCCTCGCTCAGCAGACCGACACTCTAACCACTGAGCAACCGGCCAGGGCATGCACTTTTGGACTCAATGCAATATTCACATTGAGGTCAAGCTCTCTTCAGGCTGCTATTGGTCAATGACTGAGCAGTTGAGGGTTACTAGAGCTAGGCCATTCCTGTCTGACACACAATTCCAGTAGCAACAGTATTTGTTCTGAGTTCCCAATTTGTCCAAATGAGATTTTTTTGAAAACTTCAACTGTAAATGTAGGCTCTTCCTTCTCTCTTTCCTTTCATAGACTGAAGGCTTCCCTCACCTGTCCCTTCTTCCTCTCTTCTTTACCCTCTACCAGTGTTTCCCCCAATAAACTTCATGAATGTCTACTTCTTTCTTGGCATCTGTTTTTTGGAGGAACTCAAACAATAAAAGACTGCCTGGCCCGCATGGCTCAGTGGTTGAGCGTCAACCTATGAACCAGTAGCTCACCTATGAACCAGTTTGATTCCCCATTAGGGTATATGCCCAGGTTGTGGGCTCAATCCCCGTGTGGGGCATGAAGGAGGCAGCTGATCAATGATTCTCTCTCATCATTAATGTTTCTCCCTCTCCTTTCCTCTCAGAAATTAATAAAAATATATTTAAAACACTAAAATAAAAGACAAAAATTATAAATTGGACTTCATATAAATTATGGAAAACATCATACTTTAGAAGATTATTTTCAGAAAACTGGAAAGCATGGTGCATATACCTAGAGAATACATTTGGAATGCATATATATTACAAAGGATTTTTATCCAGAATATAATAAAGAACCACTATTACTCAATAATTAAAAAGTGATGATTTAAAATGGCCCCGTGACTTGAACAGGCCCTTTATATAAAAAAAATACATGAGAATAGGGCTTCTGGTCAAGATGGCAGTGTAGATAAATGTGGTACTCCCATCCTCCCACAACCATATCAAAATTACAACTAAACTACAGAACAACTATCATTCATAACTGCCTGAAATGTAGCTGAATGGAAGCCCTACAACTATGGGTATAAAAAAGAAGCCACATAAAGCCCTAGCTGGTTTGGCTCAGTGAATAGAGCATCGGCCTTCAGACTCAAGGGTCCCGGGTTCGACTGTGGTCAAGGGCACATGCCGGGGTTGCAGGCTCGATCCCCAGTAGGGGGCGTGCAGGAGGCAGCTGATCAATGATTCTCATCATTGATGTTTCTATCTTTTTCTCTCTCTCCCTTCCTCTCTGAAATCAATAAAAATATATTTAAAAAATAAATAAATAAAATAAAGCTTAAAAAATATAAAACCGAACAGTGAATATGCTTAACATGATCATTCTTCCACCCCATCTGGGAAGGCAGACTGCCAGGGCCTTCAACTGGAACCTCATAATTAGATACTTTCAATTGTTTTGAGAATCCTGTGAACCATAAATTTATTGTATTAACTCAAAAGTTCCCCCTGCTTTCAAGAAGACTTAGACCTATTACATGACAAATTGCAAGTTAATGATTCCACTATTTCTGGGAACAAAACATTATCAGATACATAATGCAGAAAATGTACTTCCACGTACAGCCTTACGAACAATTGAACATGTAGGGCAAGTATTTACCTTTCATATGGAGAGAGAGGAAAAGTAATCAAAATTACTGTTGTGATTGACTCCTCTTTCCTATGTTCTGGAAAAATCACCTAATTTGGAAATGAGGCAGATTTGATTGCATATTGATTTATAAGCCCACCTATTATTTGACTGTAGAGATATTTTAATTATCCCAGCCGTACATGAGGTAGTAGTTTTTTTTTTTTTTCAGCACTGTGCATTTAAGGGGTGAGCATGCAGAGTAATGTGGTTTTATTTTATTTTCTGCCTGTTAGAGGTTATAATTTTTTGTCCTACAGATCATCTACCAGGATTTTACCAAAATTAACCACATTTCTGTATTCCTTTCCCTTCTACCTACACAATCCAAGACCTTGTAAATGTAAATGCATTTTCTAAAGCCCCTTTGTCATTCTGCTGGTTCCCTGAATAATGGGTTAAAAAAAAACTTTGACAGATACTAACAAATGTATGGGATTCATGGTTTGTAACAATTAGGTGTGATTTCAAGCAGATTTTTTTGGAAAGGAAGAAACCTTCTCTGAAAAGCCTCCTAGCTAGCTTCTCTTTACATCACCTTTGAAAAGTCAGATCAAGGTCCACTTCCTAAGGGACATGGAACTGACTGGATTGGAAGAGTCAGCATCTGGAATTGCATGATCACCAGAGGGGTCTCCACCTCCAGGATCAACACCTTTACTCTTTAATATCTTTAACAATGCAAGACCCTACATGAGCCACAGAATGAGAGAAGGCATAACTGCTGAACAAAACACGGACCCTATGTAACGGACCAGGAAAGAAGAGGCAGCATATTCATTCACATTTCATTTATTTTTAATAATATGTGATGTTTATTGGGGGGAAAAAGACATTTGTCTAGGTAGTGTAGAAGAGCTGGGCAGAGTGCAGGGTCACTGTGTTGAACAAAAGGCACACATCAGAGAGACAGCTGCAAATTCAGAAGAGAACTGGGTGCTGAGCAAAACTAACAGGCCACAGGAGAAAACGAGTGACTCGATTTGGCTGCGGGGCACCCCTGGGACCTGGCAGCCATCTGGCAGGAATAGAAGGTGTCTGGGGGAGTAGGGAGGGAATGGGCCCCTCCCGCTGAAGGTGAAAGGCTGGCCGGCCCCTCCAAGGGGTTGGCGAGCTGTTGGAATCACTGTCCAGGGGCTGTGGCCAGCTCAGATACCTCCTGGGTGAGACGAGATCGCTGGAGGCTGCAGCCTGTAGGTGGGAGGTGCTGGATGGTGATGGCAGCCACAGCGCTGGTCCCTGGGCACATCCATGCAGGCCTGCTAGCCTGGCAGGGAGAGGTTGGCAACGGCTGGTCTGTGGGGGTCTGTCCAGTGTGTAACGGGAGCCCAGCTCGCAGCTGGAGCCCAGGACAGAGTCCAAGTCCGCGCGGGAGGGGCCCGGCTGGCGGGAGAGGGCGGCGGCGCGCTCCGGAGCCAGGCCCAGCTGCAGCAGAGCAGGAACCTGGGGCGCTATTCCTGGAACAAAGGCAAGCACTACGCGGGAGGGAACGGGAGCGCGGGGGAGATCACCGCCACAGAACACGGGCACGGGGAGGCGCGGTGGGAGGACGCCTGTGGCGGTCTGGGCGGCAGCCACCGGCGCGGGGACCCTCCCCCGAGCACCTGTCCCCAGGCCCGAGGGTCTCCTGGCCTAGAAGTCCTCGTCCTCCACCCATCCAAAGACCCGCTTCATCTCGGCCAGGAAGCCCCGGTAATCATTGAGCAGGGGGCTCTCCTTCCTGATGTAGGGGATCACCCACTGCAGGGCAGGCCCCGTGAGGCGGGTGATGAGGAACGTCACCTTCAGGGCATCGCTGGAGAACAGGGTGTCGTCCACCAACATGTAGGCGCCCGTCTGCACGATAAACTCCGGGAGCCGGTCGGTGTCGCCGTCGAACGTCTCGGGGAAGGGAATCGGGTTCCTCCACCGACGCCTCCGGTGCCTGAGGGGTAGGGCCAGGAGGGCCTTAATCAGCTGCACTCGGCCCTCCATCGCACCGGGCTCGCTGGTCTGCGCTGGGCGGGGCTGAGCGGAGGTGGGCCTGGAGCGAGGCAGGAAGTGCCACTGTGCAGAGGCGGCCCCAGGCCCGCGGTGGGGGGGGCCAAGGCTGGCGTCTGGCACGTGCGTGGGCTCTGCCTATCAGGGGTTTGTCGCTAGTGCACAGGCACTCACGGGGCGGGGTTAGGATCCGGGGCCCAGGGCCAGGGTGCGGGGCCATGAGTAGCGCCTGGCAGTTCGTGGTCTCTGCCCACAAGGCAGTTATTTGGTCAATAAAGTGCAGGTGCGAAACAGGAAGGATGGGACAATGAAGTGGGGCACAGGAAGACGGAGGGAGGGGTCAGGGGAGGGGCTAATTCCCTTTGAAAGAAGCAGGGCAGAATTCACAGCAGGGATGAGCTTTTTCTGGGCGGGCCTCCGGGCGGGGCGAGAATCAGGGGAGGAGCCCAGGATACCTTGCTTCATGTGATGATGTAGGTGCTCGCTGCATGTGGTCCCTTTTCCAGGGTTGAGATGGTTGGCCCCATCCATTCCTCCCCTGGGATCTTGCATAATTGTTGCAGACCCTCAATGCCACTTGAGTGAGGTCCTGTGAACATATTTTCCTGCTGATCCAGGGCAGAGAGAAATGTTTTGGCTGGCGGGGTCCCCATTCCATTCCCTGGGATTTGGAGGGAAGGGAAATCATTGAAGTGCTTTTAGAATGGTCCCTGCCCCTGGAGTGGCTGGTGACCCCCACCCCTAAAACCTAGGGTCTAGTGACCCCCCCAAAGGGTCTGGGACAGGGGTCCTCAAATTATTTAAACAGGGGGCCAGTTCACTGTCCCTCAGACCGTTGGAGGGCCGGACTATAGTTTTAAAAAAAAAACTATGAAAAAATTCCTATGCACACTGCACATATCTTATTTTGAAGTAAAAAAAACAAATGTTTTCAGCGGGCCGCATGTGGCCCGCGGGCCATAGTTTGAGGACCCCTGGTCTGGGACATTCAAGGGGGGAGCTGGCTCCCTGACATGCAAATAAAGGGGCCCATGCCCTAGCTGGTTTTGCTCAGTGGATAGAGCGTCAGCCTGCAGACTGGAGGGTCCCGGGTTTGATTCCGGTCAAGGGCACGTGCCAGGGTTGTGGGCTGGATCCCCAGTGAGGGGCGTGAAGGAGGCAGCTGATCAGTGATTCTCTCTCATCATTGATGTTTCTATCTCTCTCTCTCTCCCTCTCCCTCTCCCTTCCTCTCTGAAATCACTAAAAACATATTTTTAAAAATAAATAAAAATAAAGGGGCCCAGGGCCCTGCCCAGTCAGCAGCAGTGGCATAAGGGGTCCAAGCCCCAAGCACTCTCCTCTTCAGTGGAGAAAAGGGGAGATGGGGCTAGGCACACTCAATTCCTGTTAAGGGGAAGCTGTGCCTCTCCCCAGAAGATGGGAAAGGCAGAGTTTTGGGAAAGATAACATGTTGTGGATGAGCGTGGTCATGTGTGATCACAAAAGCATCAGGGTTCAGAGGTCACATTCCCAAGGGCTGTCTGTCAAGTGCACCTGCTCTGACTAAAAGGCCTAGTTGTCGCTAATACGCAGGCTCACTCTGGGCAGAGGCACTAACCAGGACCTAGGGCTGCGTGGGACCGTGTCCATGGACAGTACCCTAAGCACTCCACCCACAAGGCAGTTGGCCACTAATGCGCAGGTGCCAAACAGGAAGGATGGGACTATGGGATAGGGTACTAGAAGACAGAGGGAGGGTTCAGGGGTGGGCTAGCTCCCTTTAAAAGAAGCAGGGCAGAATTCAGAGCAGCTGGGTTGAGCTTTTTCTGGGCGGGCCTCCGGGGAGGGGCAGGAATCAGGGGAGGAGCCCAGGATACCTTGCTCCGTGTGATGATGTAGGTGCCTGCCGCATGTGGGGACCACAGGGTCCCTTTTCCTTCCGTCCTCCCCTGGGCTCTTGCATAATTGTTGCAGACCTTTGACTCTCCACGGCCTTTGAGTGAGGTCCTGTGAACACATTTTCCTGCTTATGGATGAATCTCTCAGCCACAGAGGTATTACATGGATGGTTGTAGATGTGGTGGCCCCAAATGTTTGCCAACATAATCCAGAGTAGCATATTCAAAAAATAACGCACCACAATCAGTTAATATAAAGAGGGTTAATTGATTTTAAAAAATCTCTTAATGTGCTATTGAAGAAGCCAAAACAGGATTACCAGTATACAAACCAAAAGACAAAAATAAGGGAGGCAAGGTGCTTTTCAAATGTGACTTTAAACATGTTCTACCTAAGAATAAAGGAATGGAATTACTAAGTGTTTTACAAATTGGAAAGGAGGAGGGGAAATTAACCATCACTTGTTATATCTGAATTCATTTGTCTGGCTGAGTGCAAAAATTAATATAAATATATCATGGGCTTTTATATATACAGTAAATAACCAGTTAAAATATATAGGGGTGGCCAGGCTGGTGTCACTCAGAGGTTGAGCGTCAAACTATGAACCAGGAGATCATGGTTGGATTCCCCATCAGGGCCTATGCCTGGGGTTGCAGGCACAATCTCCAGTAGGGGGCAAGCAGGAGGAAACCAATCAACAATTGTCATCACTGATGTTTCTATCACTCTCTCCCTCTCCCTTCATCTCTGAAATCAATTATATACATACTAGAGGCCTGGCGCGCGCACACACACACACACACACACACACACACTAGAGGCCCGGTGCATGAAATTTGTGCATTTGGGGGGTTCCCTCAGCCCAGATTGTGAGAGGGTGCAGGCCAGGCCGAAGGACCCCACCAGTGCACGATTGGGGCTGGGGAGGGACGCAGGAGATTGGCCAGCCGGGGAGGGACCTTGGGAGGGCTCCAGAGGGTGTCCAGCCTGTCTTGCTCAGTCCTGATCAACCAGACCCCAGCAGCAAGCTAACCTACTGGTCGGAGCGTCTGCCCCCTGGTGGTCAGTGCCGTCATAGTGACTAGTTGGCCAGTTGACTGTCTGCCCCCTGGTGGTCAGTGCACATCATAGCGAGTGGTTGAGCGGCCTTAGCATATCATTAGCATATTACGCTTTGATTGGTTGAATGGCCCGATGAGCAGATACTTAGCATATTAGGCTTTTATTATATAGGATTACCATTCAGAAAAGCAATTCAAAGGAAATAGTGCCCAGAAATATATTTTTTGAGTTGTAAAAGCCACATGAAATAATTTCAATGCTAAAGAGGGATGCAAAAGAATGCTCAAATGGTAAGCTATCCCCAGATCTTGCATAGGATGACAAAGTCTTAAAGATGTTAAATTTCCCTAAGACAAATTACACTTCCAACACATGATTAAGTCATGTCATGAGTCAATACTGTGTTTAATCCAACTCTGGGCACTAATTTTCCCCAACATTATCCTACCAAACCAGCCAGAGGATTTTGTTTTGATTAGACAAGCTCATTTTAAGGTTCAGATGGAAGAAGAAACAACCAAAAAAATGCTTAAACCCCAACTCTGGAGGAACTCACCTATCGTTCTCTGAGCTTGCAAAGAAGTAGTCAGGCTCTAGTGGGTAGTCACCCATGCTCGCCAATTGCTATGTTCTTAGCCCTGCACAAATAATGTGGCTAGATGTCCCTGGTGTTTTAACTTCCTAAACCGGAGTTGGAAACTAAATTTAACCAATTTTACTTTGCTGTTTCTTCCTATTTCCTCTTAGAGAACTATGAGGCCCTCTCTATCAGCTACCATTGGCGGTGGATGATATTCCAGGGTGGGTAGAATAATACCATGAAAAATTACGTGACATGACCCAGTGATTATGTGGTTCACCTACCACATTTGGGAGCAGTTGATTTCAACATTGAAGATACTCACCCCTAAGCGAGCTACATATCCCTGTTTGAGTAGCTGTGAAATTCAGATAGCAAATGGCCTCCTGGAAAGGATCAGGCTGACAGTCTCAAATTATATGAAACTTGGTACCCTTTCCAGACAACATCTGAAGTCGGTTACCTTTCATCCTATAGCAACAGAAGGAATCATTACTCTGCACATGGGGTGGCAACATGAAATGACAGAAGGAGTCGGAGAAGAGACTGCTCATGCCTGAGTCTTGAAAGTGGGAAGGGGGGTGGATTTCAAAGACAAAGGAAGGAAATGATTGGATATGGAAATCCTGAAAAGGGTGGTTGGGAGATGTTTGAATTAATTGCTGGGACTAATCCTGGAAGTCCGCTATGAGTGACCTTGTCGGTTTTCCTTGCCTTTTCCCCATTTTTTGCCCCCTTAACTGGCTTGTCAACATTCTGAGTACAAACTTTGGGTCCTTCACATTGTGTCCGGGCCAGCACTATCTGATTCCAGAGCCTACGTGATTCCCTTGTATCCCAGCTCTGATGTCTCCCCATGTCCCCACCTAATAGCAAAGAAGAACTCACATTTACCCTTAGGGGTGGGAGAAACACAGCAAGGAAGGCTCTGTGGAGGAGGAGGGTGCAATTGCACTAGGCCTGGGTCAACTTGGTCAGCACAATTTCCAAAATCAGAGATAATGTCGAGGCTATGGTATATGCAAAGGCCTGAGTAGTAGAGGTGGACATTGAAGAAGGAGCATAGATATAAAAGTGATAACAATATGGGCAAAGATGAGGTTTTTGGTTGGGCCTTGTGATATGGGCCAAGTTTCCACTCACAGACCTGGAGAGAGTGGACAGCCTCCTTGTCAATCATTGCAGGCCCTCCAATGACAGTGTGTGAAGGCGGGCCACAAGGAGGCTGTGGGAGAATTTCTACCACGTGAGCAAGCTCATTAAAATCCGGATTGTACAATGCGGCTTCCGTGGACGGGTTCACTCAGTGCTGAGGGAACATGGCGGCTCCCTGTCCGGCGATCTCATAAGTTTAATTTAGTTTATTTCGTAATCTGTCGGTAGTGTGATTTTGAGAGACTCGGATAGATGGTGTATCCTGATATAATTTGGCAGACATGTCCCATGTGCTCCTGGATTGATGACAGGGAAGGTCCCTTCGCTGCTGCCGGCTTAGTGTTGAGCTTTATGTAACAGCATGATGGGT